GTTATTTATACGTGCCGCGAAACTACGTGAAAGTTGTAGTCAGTAACTACATATTCCCAAAGTTGGACTTTACCGCTGGGAGATTCGAAAAGTTCAGTGCTTTGTTACGGTGTTAACGGCTCCTTGACTAAATTTTTAGCGTTAATCACCACGCGAGAAAACGCATGGCCCGCATCCTTTGCAGCACATTTTTCACGCTGGCAATTTGCATAGAAAGATAACGCAACGCGCTATAAAATTTTGTATATAATTTTTACAAATTTCAATATATTTACGTGAAAATTGCTTTCCTATTTTAATTTGATAAATAATATTTTTTTAAGTCAAAGCTATAGTTTTCCGCTGGATTTAACGCTAGTTATTAAAAGAAGTTAAAGTCTTTCTTTTTTTATGTTACGTTTATGAAGAAATGTTCGAGTTTATCGACACGACAGACACGAAGGAGTTAATCTCGTCTCCGAAAGCCCTTGCAGCTTCACTCTAACGATATTTCTAAATTCGTATTCTCGGAGAGCTCGACAAAGCGATGGGATCTCGATTAACCTCGATTGAGACGATACTTCGGATAGACTCGTAAAAAGTGGGACGCGTAAACAAGACACTCGTAATTTCAGCGTCGTGCAAGATCATCCGCGATGACCTACCCCCGGCGGGAGATGGGACACGTTTCCCTCCAGTTATATGACCGATGCTCGTAAAAAAGCCGGAGCGAGTCGAGGGCCGGGAAAATGTCACCTCTCTTACCGTCGGTCTCCTATCCGGCCGACCTGACGTCAGATACAACATAATGAAACGAGTCGGGATTGGTCGCCCGATCGTACGTCAAAACTCACCCCGACCTCCTTACGATCATCTCCATTTTTTATCCGCGCCACATTTTTTACGGGCGGGCCTCGATCGATGCCGGAACGGCAGGAATAGAGACGGCGTTCTATCAGATCAGTCGTTTCCGCGCGATCCGTTCAAGGATCACCGCCTTCCTTGGCTCGCAAAACTTTACATTCTCTATATATTATGTTTGTTTTTTTCTTTTTTAAGTGAAAGCTATTTTTATGCAAAACTAGACAAAGTTTATCGGCATTGCTTCTTTACCATCACGTTTTTTTTTTGTTACTCCATCGAGTTGGGATAATAAAAATAAATTTATATGATCGGATACCGCTTTTTCAATCTAAAAATTCACTCGTCTTATTTTGTTTACTTCGGTCGTACGCTTTGCCGATTTCTCGCGCTCCCACGAACATCGTATCGTTCTAGCGCCGATATTAATATTCGATGCCATTAACGGCGCAACAATTGCTTTCTCCAGCCGGCGCGCTCCCTTGCGCTTCAGTCTGAATTCCAATTCGGTCGCCGTTTGAGTATACGAGCAGCCGTGATTGCACGACAAGGCGAAGATGCCGCCCGTACACGTTCCATCTTCCGCCCGATGTCGCGGTTAAGGGCGATAATAGCGATACCGGCAAGTAGCTGGCGAAGTTACCAGCGAGGTGACAAAGTACACGGGGGTCGTGACGCGAGTGGGGATGAAAGGGGGGAGGGGTGGGAACCGGACGGTATACTATTCTGCGCGTTCTGTGGGGTGGACGGGCGAGAACAGGCGAGGGCAAAGGGCCAGGGGTGTATTAAAGGGGCGCTATGACCCGATGCGCTTGTCTCATGCATACCAATAAGCCCCGGCTGCTGCGTCTCGTATGTAGGCGAGTATCTGCCTGCAGCTTGCCGGCAACTTCGCTTATTTGTCCTGTGAAATGGATCCTGCCGTTGCCGTTGGCCCTTGACTACGGTCGTGATCAAGATTAACGCCGGTATATACGATGGGATATCGAACCGATTAAATCAATATTATTAGTTGACTTTATATTTTTTTAATTACATCATCGAATTGGCGAAAAAATGGTTCTGTTTTTAAGGTTGCGATTAGAATTAGCGATTAGGCATTGTTATTTCTCATAAATTTGCATAATGATTATTAACGATGACTCATTAGCTGCAAAATGCGCACATGCGGTATCTGATAAAATTTAACAATGTGGAAAATGTTATAAAAGAAAAGAAGAAAAATAGTACTGCAAATAATTAAAATTATAATGATAAGTTTAACAAATTATTAACGAAATATAAAACAATGATTTATTTTTCCAAGTAATCTTTGTCATCTTCTCCCTTAGATAATGATATTGGCAACAATTTTAACTTTTCGCCCGGGACAAAAATATTTGTTCTCCTGGGAGAACAAACATCGGGCAGAAATAACTCGCGATAAACAATACGCGGAAAAATAACGTCGTCCGCCATCGTCGGGAGACGCGCTTGGCAGAATACTAGTGAAACGAATTTTGATTAACGAGAGAGCTTTCGCGAATTCGGAAGCGCGTTCCACGCGAAAGAACGCTCCAATTTGTCCGCGTAGTGAGCGCGAAATGAAATTAAGGCCGACGTGAATTTGATCAGCGGTGGTGGCGGCGGCCGGGGCGGCCCGAAATCCTCGCTGAAAATGCAAAGCTCGGACGAAACGCCGAGAGTGGGGACGACTAATGACAGTTACCGCTGTGAGTTGATTCTCGTTTAAAAGATTTACGCCATCCCGTGTAGTTTGCAAATCGAATATATGACTGGCTTTCCCGCAAAACACTTGCGCCCGCGAACGAAAAACGTAAGTTCGTCCACTTTCTCCGAAGACTTGCAACTGCATTTTTAAGCAAAACTCGTGCAAGACTTTAAGATTTTCGAAATTTGGAAATAAAGACGCATCTGTCATATTTATTTTCTATCTCGTGATAAATATGCCAAGATAAAAGAGTATCATTCGTATCTATTATACAATATTGCATATGTATATGTTAAGAGGGAGATTCTTTTTTACAAAAATTACGCTGTGTGAAAAAACCGGCACTTAATCTGCCGTGCGCGAAATAGGTCGGATAGTCAGCGAAAACATCGTTCTTCCACGTTAAAGGAGATGTTAAACTCGAATTCGGGGACATTATCGTCCGTGTTCCAAATTGCATAAATGCAACCGGCAACACGTAATAAATTTTGCGCATTGTGTCAAAAGCGATGTTGCATCTCACGTCGTTTGAATTACTAACTCGCTACGGCGGTATGTATATCAATTATGCGATATTGACATTGTCGTTCCATTGTACCACGTTATTACAGTGACAGTTATTACGGCCAAGTTATCTAGGTCTCGCACTAATCAAACTTATCACCTCGTACCTATCAAAATGCTCCCCCCATGAATAAATAACGAAAGGCAATTGAGCCACGTCGACTTAAATGAGAAATTGCCATTATATAGCAGTCTTTTATAAAGTGTGATACGAAAAAATTATGCAACATTGTTCAACGGAGACATTTATTAATCGTCAGTGTACAAGATTAAATCTAAAGTAAGTTCCACTTTTTAGACGCAAATTAACTGTCGAGGAATTTTAAATTTCTGTGAGCAAATTTCTATGTGGAGAAAAAGAAGATATTTGTGATTAATTTGAAATATAAAATTATATTTTTTTGTATTTTATTGTAAAATGAGGACAGAAGATATTTGTAATTTGATGTCAAATAAAAGATTATATTCTTTTGTATTTTATTGTAAAATAAAGTATAAAAGAATATAATTTTATAAATCAAATCATAAATATCTTATTTTCCATATATAATTTGAAATATAAAATTATATTCTTTTTTACTTTATTGTAAAATACAAAGAAATATATATATATATATTTGTTTTTTCCAAATCAAATCACAAATATCTTTTTTTTTCCATATGAATATAGAATGTGAATATAGAAATTTGCTCATAAAAATTTAAAATAAAGTAAATATTGTATTGTAAAATAAAGTAAAAATTGTAAAATAAAGTACAAAAGAATATTTATTATAATATTGTAAAATTATATTCGAATTTGCATATTTATTGTGTTATCGTTGCGATTTAAAAATACCGAAACCGTTTCAAGTCGCAAAAATGTATATAAAAAAAAGAAAAAAGAATATACTGCGGTGTCTCGCTTTTGCAATTTGGAAATCTGATTGCGCTTTAATCGCATTCCGGTGTAAAATATTAACAACAAAGCGAGCAGCGATAAAATCGCGCGATGACACACGCCCGCATGGTGGATTCTATGAAAAAAAGTGTCGTCCGCACTCCACTCCAAATATCGACACGCCGACACTCGAGACAGGTTGAAACACTTTTTTAAATATGATCGAGAGCGCGCGAGTCTACCAAAGGTAAACTAATAAATCGTACAAATCGGTTCTGCGAGTTACATCCACTCGTCGACTGCGACTGCGGATTAATAGCGCGACGAGATGCGGTAGTGCATCAATTACACCATCATTATAACGTCATCAAGCCGATGTCGATGTGGCGCGAGCTAATTAACGAATTTCCATATTACTCGGGTGCTATCGTCGAAAATTAAGAGCGACTGGATTGTACTATTCGGTGGTAGAAGGTAGTAAATCACTATGCAAGACTCTAATGAATGAACACGAAAATTAGATCATCGGCATAAAATGGCGCTTAACAAAATAACGCCGTCGGCTCGGCGTCATGTATTAAAATTCGATTTAATTAAATAATTATAAATAATCGCAAATCATTTTTTACCTATAGGAAATGTTCCTGTCGCTTTTAAGCGATCTAATCGAAAGTAAAATTAAACCGATATTTTTTAGAAACAAATTTTGTAATGATTGAATAATTATGTAATTATGTTACATGGCACAAGGAATTAAAAATGAACTAGTTGAATTTTCAATTAAATATCTTGAATTTTTTGCCCGCTGTCAAAATAAAGAAAATGTGTGTTTTCTATCAAAAGAATAATTATTGCTTTTGCCAAAACTCTTGCAGTTTAATAAGACTCGCGGCAATTGATACGAGATATTTTGCACAAAGCAGCATTAACTTACAGCAAAGCTGCTATATATCTGAGGCACGTTTCTGATAAAACTCATAATGGTATCGCATTTCTCTATTGCAGGTTATCCTTGTGCCACACAGCCACACCGATCCGGGATGGCTGAAGACGTTCGAGCAGTACTTTCACAGTTCCACGAGGAGCATCCTGAACAACATGGTCTCGAAGTTGCAGCAGTGGCCGAACATGACCTTTATCTGGAGCGAGGTTTCGTTCTTATCGCTGTGGTGGGACAGGTGAGTGTATATACGATATGCGCATATGCAATCAAACATTTTGCAATATTTTGCGAGTAAAATGAGGAAACTTCAAATGCCTCGCATCAGAGAATATATTGAGATACTCTCGACGTCATAACATATGTGTAAACTAAATGCACGGACACTTTCATATTTAAATTGAGGTTGTTAAAAGGGTTACGAAAATTATAAAGAGTAGTTGATAAGGCAAATATCTCTGTGATGGAATAAAGTCACTCTATTTCGAAGCAAGAACCTCCAGATTTTTTGATGAAGCAGCGACTGTGTGTGGCTATTTAAAATTCAGACTCACGGGAAATAGTTAGTATCGCCGATAGTCCAGCTCTCTTTGAAAACAATCCTTCGCTACGAACGTTAGCTTATGCATTTGTAATTAAAGACAAACGGCAGTTAGTGCATTTGTGTGTTAAGTAAACCGCGATTTTCCGGCAAACATTCCTCGAAATAGGTTATTGTAAAATACGGTTTGGCGAGAACGAACGTCGTATAAACGGAACGGAACGGAAACTAACATGCTCGTGTAATTGTATACGTTTGATGACGCGGCGTGTGTACATCGTTATCTCCGAAATTCGAACTCGCGACAATCGATATTTGTTCACCGATGATGTTCTACTTCTGCGAGGATGGAGAAACGCGCGCTTCAGTGCAAACATCGGCCTCCGCATTCATAATTAAAGATAAACGACGGTTTGCGTGCAATTGTGTGTTGAGCAAGCTGCGAGTTCCTTGAGCAAGCATCTCTCTCGGAATGAATTGCAAAATAGGCCATTCAACAGGAAAGATAGTATCGGAGATTGGGATAGTGATTCTCGAGGCGCTTGGTGCGAATGAGCAGAACGGAGGGCTGAGAACAGCGGCGGGGGACGATCCTTCTCTTTTTAACGAGCCGCGGAAAAGCTGTGGATAAAGTAGGGATGAAGAAGACGGAGAAGTGTCGCGAGTGGATTCCGCGAAAAGAAAGAAAGAGAGAGAGAAAGGGTGAAATGATAAGTTCCAGATGAGTTTCACAGGAAGCTCGCTTTCATTACTCTCCTGCGGTGCTCCTAGGAACAGAATGAGATTCAAAGCTTTGCTCAAAAGTAATTTTTACTCGAGGATTTAGTCATCCTGCGAATCGATACGGTTTTATCGGATCAGTAGGGAGAAACGAGAATAGGTACTTGCAAACTGTGGAGTGCGATTCGCGCTGAGAGCAGTTCGTATGAAACAGAATGAAGGATTATATATGTATATAATAAGATTGAAAGTCTCTTAAGACTTTTTAATAAATGTTTACTAAAAATAATTGTAAAAAATAGTTTCTTCTTTCTAGAAATGTTGCATGTTATATGAGTGAAAAAGTTAATTTTATGACTATTAAATTTTTGATAAATTGATAACTTAAGATAACTACTTTCATTTTTTCTCACATTTTGAAACAGTCGGTCCAAATTTTATATCTAACCAATCACAATTTAGCTGACGCTTCCTTAAGCTTGGGAGCATGAAACGCTAAGAAACTGTCGGCATGCATTGCGGGTTTCGCCGCGGGTGAAAAATTTATTATATTGAAAACGGTGCAGGTTAAAGAGACCCGCGTGTCGAGGAAAGCTCATCCCCAAAATGTCCCAGTTTGGCCTGGGCGTAACCATCTTAAACCAACCTACTAGTCACCGGGGAGAATAGAACGAGAGAGAAAGAGCAAATGAGAGAGAGAGAGAGAGAGAGAGACGGATGTACAGCAGGTGGAATCCGTGGCGGCTTTATGGCTGACATAAACGACGTAATGTGGAAACCACCTTCGAATAGGGAAGGTTATGTAGGTCGTACATAACACTCGAACGCACAAATCACGTAAATCCTGGCGGGCTGAAATGCGGCGGCGGCGATAAATATGATTTGCAACCCGAATTGCGTGATAGGTAGTATAAAACAAGCGCGGCAAGGCGAGTCACGCGAGAATGATTAAATCCGCCGTTGATCCACATCGAACGGGATTGATCATTTACGGTTATTTAGGTAGAACACGAAGCAAGTTCATTCATAAATAAACCTTCATCATTGAAAACGAACTCAATTCTCGTCGAGTTAACATTTTGATAACATTTTGATTTAATAGCTCTGTATTTTTATACTTTTAAAAAGTTTCTATATTAAATTAGTGAGTTGTGAAAATATATATAATACGTTTGATGTCACAGCATATTTTTCTATCAATTTTCGCTAGATGAAAATAACCATAAATTACGAACGAAAAGATTTCTTTTTATCCGATCTTTAAATTATAATTTATAAAAGCAACACTTATTATCTCGTAATGACGAGTATCATTTTCGTTTTCAGTGCTCATCCAACGAAGAAGATGGTCGTGAAGAGATTAGTGAAGGATGGTCGATTAGAGATGACCACTGGAGGCTGGGTAATGACCGACGAAGCGACTTCCCACATTTATGCCATGTTGGACCAACTAATTGAAGGTATGTGCTCAAAATCTATCTGCATAATTCTAAATTATGGAATAAGAACAATGTTCGTTCTGAAAAGGGAAGATAAAAATTTCCTTTCTTATAGAATAAAATAGTGGACCGTGAAATTTCCTTTGCAAAGAATTTTAATTTATACCAAGCGCGTGTTTTAATCTCTTATTGCCGAAATTATATTTTAAAAGTTTGAAAAAAATGAGCTGAATAAAATAAATCGAACATTAAAAAATTAAGAAATGATAAATACATCCCTGTATTTCTAAAGATACAAAACCTTGAAATAAATTTGCATATAGCACATTTACAATGATAATAAATAGAACTAAACTGAAGAGAAAATGGAACACTAATATCGTGATATATGACTTGATAATTATATCGGATAATGGACAGTTTCATAAAAAACGGATTAAGCATATAATACAAAATGTCAGGATCGCGTAATACGAATATTATACGAGGATCGCGAAGGAAGGAATATGAACGCGAATGTAAAATGCGCCAGATTGATCGTATAAAAGGATCTATATAAAAACGCGCAGCGGAAGCTCGAAAGATTCAGCGTGACGAGGAAGGATATTCCCTTCCTTCCGGTGCCATAAAAGTCAGCCGAAATGCTTTAAAACACTCCATCGACAGGCAAAGGGACGTCGGAATTCCGGCCACCGATAGATAGATAGGTAGGATATCCTTGTCGTTTGCTAGCCAAGCGTCGGCCGGCAGAGGGCAATAAGGTGCCCCGCGCCGATGCGCCGCGCGGAAGGAAGAAGATTCGAGTGGATGGAAAGGATTTCTCTCGTCCCGCCACGTGGAGGGAAGGCGGAGGCGGGAGAGTAATAAGGCAGCGGGTGCAAGCGGGTTTCGCAACGGAAAATTGCTCTCCGCCACGTCGTCGTCGTCTCCTTCGTCCTCTCGGAGCCGTCTGATTACGACCCCGTCCCCTTTCTCCTCCTCCTCCCCCCATCCACCGTTCTCATCGCAATGAAGGGAAAAGGATCCTCCTCACTCCCGCTTGGTTTAATGTTACCGCGAAAGATTTTACCGCTCCCGTGGAAATTTCAGTCGGCGTTGATTACCTTTCCACAGAGGCCGCTGTCGCGTGCTGTATCGCTGGGATATCACCGGCGCAGAACGGCCTACGTTTATCTCTCTCTCGGACAAGAGAATGTGTGAGAGAGAGAGAGAGAGAGGAGGGAGAGAGAGAGAAAGAGAGAGGAGGGAGAGGGAGAGAGAGAGAGAGAGAGAAGGAGCAGTAATAACTATTATCGTACGTATGTCGCATATAGCCGCGGCTGCGCCCCGCAGGATTATTCCTAATGCCTGCTGGCGTACCGTGCGCCCGTTCTCCAAATACAGCGCAGTCAGGTCAGGTATGCCGCGACATTGTGCAATATGGAGCACGTTTTCGGAATCTCTTGGAATTCACGTTGGAAGCTTAATATAGAAAAAGCTACAAGAGCGGAAAAGAAGAGCTTTAATATGTACGTAGGATTATTCTTGTAAAAATGTAGTTTAAATTTATCACTAAAGACAGATCGCAACTCACCAATTTAGCCCCACTGATTAAATTAAACACCGTTATCGTAGAAATGAGAAAACATAATTCACGACTTAATATATTTTATATTAAATTGCGAATTATGAAAATACATGATTCGAAGTTGCAAATCTCTTTCTAGAAATTTTCGCAAGATAAAATTAATCATAAATGTAAATAAAGTACAAAACTTTTCTGATACTTCGCAACGGGAACATCAATTGTAAATTTACGGCAAATATCGTTGAGAAACGGAATTTCACGGGAGAACAAAGTCCATTCCGGCGCTTGAAAATTGCATTTAATCGTCGTTTCCTCTCGCGTCGGATCCTGACGTTTCAGGAAGCGATATCGTCGCCGCGCGTAATTCTGTCCTCCGAATGACCAGACCCGTCGCACGTATGCACGCGACACGTTGCACTGTGCGACGTGGAATTTCCACGAACACCGTGCGATCATTAACGGCGGGTGAGGAGTGCAACAACAAAACGTACAGCATGTTATGACCTGTCGTCGCGCGGTTTCCACGCGCGCGAAACGTACGTACAAGTGATACGAGGGTCCTCGAGCGCGCCGGCCGTCCGCCGGAATAATGCACTCGCTCTTGTTCGCGTTTTGCGCGCGCGCGAGGGCATCCGTACGAAATAGTCGTGGACCTAGCAGCTTGTTTTTGCACGACGGTGTATTCATTGCCTGCACGAAAACCGAATCTCCATTGTACGCGACACGCGATGATAGCGGTCCTTTTTGTATATTTAATATATTTACGTTTTGTGCGGTAGTGGTTGGTCGTAAATAATAATTCCTCTCTGAATATTTCTTTTTATTTCCGTATCAGAATCGTACTCCAACGTGAAATTTATGTTTAATAGCAGATATATACATTTCATTGCTTTAGTCTCTGCGATTTGCCTTTAAAGTATCATCTTTTATTCCTTCCTTTATATTTGTGAAATATTGAATATAAATTTTATAACGCAATAAAATCGGCAGAATATAATAAAGAAGATTCAACGATTAACGATTGCAGTTAAAATATTAATTTAAAAAAATTCTAATATGTTACATTAAGTGAATTTCTCTATTTTAATCTTATTACGTTGGCAATTCCAAAATTAATTACAGGTTTATAATCCAAATATCGCGAGCGATATTAATAGCACTCTAAATTTCTCTGTCGCAGCAGTGTTAATATTTGTAAGAGGAATTATCGGATTGAGGGCAAAGGTAAATGCATAAAGTGCAAATTATGCAACGTCCAATGCCACGATGCGGGAGAGAGTCTCTCTACAGCGATTTCGCGGGCGCGGGAAATGCGATTTTGTAGTGACTGCGTTAAATTGAAATAATGCCGCCCAGGTGTATTAACTCCTAATTATTAGGCTACTGAATATGTATGGTGCGACGCATGTTCGCGCCTAGAACGTTAAATTGCCAAGTTCGGTGTCGCGGCCATTAACGACTACCGCGCGCATGGTCGCTGCGTTCCGCGTATTTACGATATTCGATATGTATGCACTTTCGCGTGTTATGTTGCAGCAAGCGGCCGCATCGGCGTAAATATTCGACGTGGATATTCGCCGATCGCGTGGCCGGCGTCTCCGCGCTGTAAACACGCCTAACACGAAAGGCCCGACGTATTATCGTCGATTTGCCGCGAATATGCATAAACCGCATATGGATCGTGTGCATTAATCGTTCAAAATGTAAACAAAGCACGTGCACGCAATTGCGATTAGTGTATTAATGTATTAACACAACTGTGGTCGCAAATCGCGCTTGAATTATCCAAAATATTTCTCAATATATTGACATATTCTTAAAATTACACATTATAAAAGGCTTGCCGTTTGTAAAATTTTCTAATTACTTTCCATCGAAATAAATGCGCCATTTTATGAAGCACTTTGAGCGTTTGATTCTCACTTAGACACTCGATGTCGCACTAAATCTCATTTCTCGCCTCCTATTCGCCGAGAAAATTAATTTCGCGTGAGCAGCATTCTGGCGACGAGACAGCCTATCATCTTAGACAGGGCTCTCGTTTCTTCGCTCGAGTTTCACGGCGCGCTAACAAAGGAACGATCTTTTAATAAACGACGACCAAGCATTAAACGTAATCCCGCGTGCCGTGAGCAGCGATAATATCGAAGCAAAGCCGGCCGGTCGGCCGCCCTTTTAAAGCTCGCGCCTCTCTCACGCTGATCGTCCCCGGCGCTTCTCCTCCTTCGAGACACGCTCCTTAGAATCCACTGCAAATATCGCGCGATATAAAAGCGTTTACGGGCTACATCATATCCGGAAAGCTTCTCCCACTCGCATGTTTCTATATTTTGTTCCATCTCGTGCGGCGCCCAAGTGCGCGTCTTAATATTGGATATCAAAAAGCAATCGTGAATGAGAAAAATGCCGCCGTCACTCGAATTTTACAATAATTCTTCTGCAAATATACACCGAGATAATAAACGATTATCACGTAATGGCATGACAAAATTGATTCTTATCGCCGGCAAAATTCCGACTCTCCTGGAACGCGAAATATCCATCTAATGGGTGGATTCGTCGCGAACCACTTCGGGATTCGCACGTATCGCTGTCATTTGCATCGAAATGGTGCGACATCGCGCGCAATATCCCGCTTGTCCTGTTTTCTCGAATTCCGAAATCCACCAATTTCCGAACGTGTGCAACCTATGATCCTACCCGCGATACATGGATCACTATCCCATAGCTTAAAGGGCAATTCACACGATACTTTTTTTGCGAACAATTTCATTGATTGTCATTCTCAAAATATCAATAAATGCATTATAAATGAATGAAATTTTTAATCTGAAATTTCATTAGAAATTAAATGGCAATAATTAACGGTAAATCAAATGGTTTTTTTTTCTGAAAGCATCAGAAAATTAGCAACCAGGGAAAATGTAATAATAAAATATTGTATCAACATATTCCGGTGTCGCGCGGACATACTTTTGTTTAGTTCGTAAAACATTTCATGTTTGAATATTTTTCAAAAAGATTTTCAAAATGAAGTTTTTTGTCCGCGGTATCACTGTACGCTGCACTATATAGGAATGTGGAAGTTGGTACAGCCGCGCCGTTGTTATTATTGCAGCACCGCTATTGTTCTACGGGAGTACGGAATAGTTATGGTTATGGCTCTCGACGAGACGGCACTTTGACTGAGAGCAGCTAGTTACAGGCATTTTCGCTAGTCGCTCGCCGGTTTCGTCTCGTAACCACTCTTCGAGCTCTCGCGGAATTTTCGCCATTAAAAAGATAGAGCCTTATTTCGCTGCTGGCAACGAGGAATATACGCATAAACGGAATCTTATCTTGAATACAGTGTATTTAAACGAGTAACAATAAAACATATCTAAATAACGTTTCAAAACAATACCGACTTTGCAGAACATTTAATGTTTAACATTAATATTAATGCGATATATGT